ATCTTCTTCGATGTCCTGCTTTGGACACATATTGGCTTTGTGAGCCTGGGAAATCTCTGGGTGTCCTGTAGGCAAACCTCTGAGACTATAAATTGAAAAAGAGTAGCCAATCTGCACTGATCAAGGGAGTGCTCAATATCAGTGGGATGGCAAGTTCAATCAACCCACCCCAACTACAATGGAAATCCCTGGCCCTTGGGGGACCAGGACCACATCTTAATCTTCTTTTGATCCTATAGAGTTCCTGCACATGGATGATGCTTGAAAAATGTTTGTTGAATGACAGAAAAGTAAAGGAAAAGATGAACAAAAGATTCTTTCATTTGCTCGATCCAAATCAAACCTGCCCCTTAAGTTCTTGGATTCCACCCTAGGTCCATGGATTCTGAGGATTTAGAGCTAGAAGGGACATTAGTGAGCTTGTGGGTTAATTCTCTCACTTCATAGAAGAAGAAACTGAGACTTGGGATTTATCTAAAGTCCCATGGCTTTGTTATGCGATAGCCCTGTGATGTTTCAGCAAGTCAGTTAAAGTCCTGAGCCTCAGTTTCCTCTTCCATAAAATGGTGATGAAAGAAAACTAAGAGCTAGAGATCCCACAGGGGCAGCTTTCTGTTAACCATATCAAATGATACAAGTTAAAAAGTCTCCAAATTCAGAAGACTCAGCAATGGCGAGGAGACCAACTCACCATCCCATTGGTCTGGGCACTCCAGTAGAATGACTCCAGGAACCTCTGGATTGGTTCAGAAAAGCAATCAAGGAAATTAGAGAAGAGATCAAAAAAGTAAGGACTGGAATAAGAATTCTTGAAGTGAAAATCAACAAGTTTAGCCAGCAACTAGAGACCTTAGAACAAAAGATAAAATGATTCTTTCTATCAGTAGATTATAGAAAGGGGAAAAAAAAGACAATATAAAAGTAATACCCAAAAAAAAGGAGACAAAGAAGGAATTTTTTTTTAAATATTGTTAACACGAGAGCTCTGTAAACAATAATACTGAAGTTGAGGATAGGCTGCAGAGAATTAATCTATGGATTAGGAGTCTTCCTGAAAAATATCATGAAAAGAAAAGCTAAATGCCATACTCCAAGAAATCATACAGAAACCCTACCCAGAACTATTGGAAGCAGATGGCTAAGTCCGGGTCAAGGAAATCCTTAAGACATCAGCAGAAATAAACTTTGAGTTTAAATTATCAAGAAAGATAGTCCAATTTTGGAATGACAATATCAAAGAACAAATCTTGCATAGGAGAAGAAAAAAAATCTTTTGATTCTAGGAAAAAACAATCTACATAGGCATGCTGGGATGACTCTGGAGTTACAAGAAATCCAAAATTGGAATGAGACATTCCCCAGAGTAAAGGACCACAGCTGAAACCCCAACACAACAAATCTCAAAAGGGTAAGCCAAAACATCAAGGAATATGCTCACAAAAATGGACACACTTGAATCATTTCCTCAAAGGAAGCTAGGTGATCCAGGTTTTAAATTTTCAAACTGACCAAACTGAAGGCTAAATAGTTTCAGGTAGTAATGAAAGACTAAGAAATGAAATGTTTATCTGCATGTAAAAAGAGTGACATGGAGACACGAAGGTGGGGGGGAGAGGGGTAATTTTATATATTGCTAATTTTTAAAAAATCACAATGTGTGAGTGACAGTGAAAAAGCAAAGACTATGCTACCAAAATTATTCTCAAAAATAGGGACAGAAGGCACTGTGCTGACTGCCTTTTGTGATGAGAGAAAAATGGTCTCAATATCCAAAAAAAGCAAAGAAAGAGATCTATAGCCCCATCTCCCTAATGAACATTGATGAAGAAATGCTAAATGAAGTCCTGACATGTAGACTTACAGAAACACATTCAGAAAATAATTCCCGGTGACTGAATTGGAGTCATACCAAGGATGTAAGAATGATTCACAAACAAGAAAACAATGAACTTATGTTTGTATGGAAATAGAAAGCAGCGGCTCCTCACCTACCTCCAGGATCAACTAGGAACTCCTTTTTCTGACATTTAAAGTTCATTACACACACACACACACACACACACACACACACACACAACACACACACACACACATACACACACACTCATACCATGTATCTATAAATGTGTATCTACAAATATATCAATCAACCAATAAAAATTTGTTAAGTACCTACCATGTGCTAGGCACTGTGCTAAACACTATATGTTAGATATGTATCATTTATCAATATAGGTAAATATATACCATATATATACACATACATATGCACATATATGTAAAGCATCTCTCAAACTTTAAGTGACAGAGAAAATAACAATTTGCATTGATAGAGGAAATTTCTCACTGGGAGTTCCTTGTACTGATAAAATCATAGGTCTGGTCAAATACATAAGGAAACAAACAAACAAACAAATAAAAGCAAAATTAACCCTATAAACATCAAAGATTTTAAAAGTCACAATGATTTCGGTGGATGCTGAAAAAAGCCTTTGATAGACTTTAAATCTCATCTGTTACAAACCCTAAAAGCCTAGAGATTGAAAGGCTCTTCTTTAATATGATCAAAGGCATATATTTAAACCCAAGAGCTAGCACTGTTTGCAATGGAGAAACACTATAAGTTTTCCCAATACAAACAGGGGTAAAGCAAGGATACCCAGTTCTCCTGATAATTATTTGACATAGTTCTCAAAATGTTAGCTATGGTGGTAAGACAAGAGAACAAAATGAAAGGCACAGACAATTATAGCAGCTCCATACTAGCAATGGGCTTCCTCAAAAGGTGGGGAATTCTTCCATCACTGGAGGTTTTTTTAGCAGAGGCTTAAATGATCCCTGTAAGGGGTGTCATAGAGGGGATTCTGGTTCAAATATGGTTCAAATTGAACCTTCAGAGGTCCCTCCCAGCTCTGTGATTCTGTGCTCCTGGCTGATGAGTGATGTATAATGAGGAGACCATACAGCTCAGCACGAGCACTGGGAAAGATGAGGGGGCCAGAGGATGGCTGGGTGAGGAAATTAGTCTCCTAATGGAATCGACAGCTCAGTCAAGAGAGGCGAGGGACAATGACTCCATAGGAACCGACCAGGAAGGGCCTGAAGCACATTTCCAGGAGAAGACGCCTGCCGTGGCCCAGGGGTCGGAGGAGGCGGCCATGGTATGCTCAAAGAGGAAATTAGAATTCCAATTGGAGCAATGAGGAGAGCTGGCCCCAGACAGCCCATCACTAGGGAGGTGCTGGAGAAAAGGACCAGGTGGGAGGCACCTTCCTCTTCAGCTGGAAGGAAAGGGCCCCCAAAGCCAAGCCTCCCACCTCCAGCTCAAGTTTCAAGGCATCCTTGGGAAAAAGGATACTAGCCTTAAATGAGGACAAAAGATGGGGAGAAAAGGGGAAAGTGAAGCAGCCTCTAAGCCCAGTCTGGGGAAGGACACAGCAGTGGCAGACACTGGGGGTGGGAGAAAGGCCACTGGACTTGGGGTCAGACAATCTGGGTTCGAGTCCCTGGCCTTTGATGCTTATTAGCTGGGTGATGAAGGGCATGATTTCTCTCTGAGTCTCAGTTTCCTTTGTCTGAAAAATAGGGATAATCCTTACACTATCTAACCCACAGGACTGTGGTAAGGAATGTGGAAAAGGCTCGGAAAGCTTAAAATGTTACAAAAATATAAATTTTATTGGAAAGAGACAGTACTTTTGGTGGAGGATCTCCTAACTCCACCCCCACCCACCCAGCTTTCTCAACTCTACTGATTCCTTCCTCATCCATGCTCTAGTAGGAGGCCAGGGAGAGGAGCTGTTTAATATAGCAAAAGAGGCAGAATTCAAAGTCAGGTACTCTGCCAAAGCTAGTGTTTTTCTCTTGCTACTCTGGGACCCTAGCTAAGGCATTTCTGGGTTTCAATTTCTAGCATCTCAAAAAAAATGAAAAGGAAGGAAGCAAGCCTTTATTAAGTGCCTACTATGTGCCAGGCACTAGGCTAAGCACTTTACAAAGAGTGTTTCATTTGAGCTTCACTGCAACCTTGTGAGGTAGTGGTGTTATTATCTTCATTTACAGATAAGGAAACTGAGGCAGACAGAGGTTAAGCAACTTGCCCAGGGTCACACACCTAGTAAGTTTCTGAGGCCAGATTTGAACTCAAATCTCCCTGATTCTAGGCTAGCACTCTATCTACCTCTCCACTCAGACATCTTTTCCAGCTTTGATATTCTCTGTTCTAGGTTCCCTCCTGGCTCTGACATTGTCTGTTCTAAATTCAGAGCTAGAATGAAGGCTTAGTTCAAAGCAGCAGTATGGTGAAAAAATCACCGGCTCTGGATTCAGAAGGCCTAGGTTTGAATGTGGTCTCTGTCACTTTCTACCTTCATGACCTCGGGAATGTTACTTCATTTTCCAAGCCTCAGCTTCCTTTTCTAGAAAATGAAGTGCTTAGGGCCAGCTAGGTGGCACAGTGGATAGAGCACCAGCCCTGGATTCAGGAGGACCTGAGTTCAAATCCAGCCTCAGACACTTAACAGTTGCTAGCTGTGTGACTCTGGACAAGTCACTTAACCCCAAAAGCCTCACCGAAAAAAAAAAAACCCAACAACAAAGCAAACAAATAAAAAACAATTCTTGTTAAAAAAAAAAAAAAGAAAATGAAGTGCTTAGACTAAATGGCCTGGAAAGTGCTTTCTAGTACTAAATCTATGACCTAAGAGTCTCATTTTTCAAAGGGAGAAACTGAGGCTGTAAAAGTAAGTGTCTAGCCTAAGGTCTCATAGAGACTGAGAAAACTAGGATTCAAATCCAGTACCTCTGACTCCTTCCTCATCCATTGTCTTCCCATCCTCCCATGCTGCCTTGGGTATTTTCTGGCCCATGAGGTATCACCATCCCCAGAAAGGTATTGAACCCATCCCTCTGGTTGATGGCCCAGAGAACATAGCAAATGCTAGCATGTGATTGGCATAAAGTGGGGGGGTAGGGCCGGGGGTGGGGGAGGCCACACTCACTTTTGACGTAGACGTACACTCTGGTCATGAAGCTTGGGTCCTCTGAATCAGAGATGTCTCTGTAGCTGCAGGTGAAATAGCCGGTATCACTAGCCACCATGCTGAAGATGGTGAGCTGGTTGCAGATGAGCAGAGGATCATCAGAGCACCGGCGCTCAGATATGCGAAAGGAGCCACTGGAAGAGCTGTTGCCCCAGCGCCAGGCTAGTGAAGCCGATCCCCTGTTGAAACAAAGACGACAGACACATTCTCAATCACAGCTGGGGTAAGAGACACATTCTGGAAACGGAGCCTGCCCTGGTTGCTTGGCTCAGCCTTCCTAGGGCCAGTGGCGGATGGAAGTTCCACTGGGAGAGTAAAAAGGTATAATCTAGGATGTGCAGCAGCTCTGGGGAACTGAGCTTAAAAGCAGCCCAGGGTCCCCCAAATTTACCCCAAGAGAGCAGTGGGGAGCCAGTGGGTGGCTCGCTGGCTCCTGAAGGGTCTTCTTGGGAAGAAGAGTACTTTCCATCTACTCTGTACTATCCTGTATGTTGTCTATTTATGCTCACATTATCTCCCCCATTAGAATGTGCCACGCCTGAAAACAGAGATTGTTTGGGACTTTCTTTGTCTCCCTAGTACCTAGGACAGGACACAGTACACACTAAGTGCTTAATAAATGTTTGACTGATTGATTGATGAGATGTATGTCTTAAATGCCTACTGTTCAGACCTTCATCACCTCTCAGTAATCTCCTAATTGGTCTCCCTGCCTCCAGTCTCTCCCACGCCAATCCAACCTCCACACAGCTGCCAAAGTGATTCTGAAAGCACAGACCTGCCCGGTCACTTCCCTTCTCGGTAAATTCCGGTGATTCCCCATTACCTCTGGGGTAAATTACAAACTACTCCGTCTGGCATTTAAAACACTTCCCAATCTGGATTCAACGGAACCTTTCCAGACTGATTCTACATTACGCCCTCCCTCCTCACCCTCTCCATTCCAGCCGAGCTGTCCATCTGGCTATCCCTCACACAGGCTTCCCACTTCCCCCTCTTCTTAGAATCCTTAATTTCCCACAGTGCTCAGCTCAAGGGTCACCCACTTCCTACATGAAACCTTTCTAGATTCCCCCACCAACTGTCACTACCCTTGCCACCAAATTACTTTGTATTAATTTATTATCTATCTAGCTAGGCAGCTAGGTAGTGCCGCAAAGGCTAGAGCACCAGGCAGGGCTGGAGTCAGGAAGACCTGAGTTCAAATCCAGCCTCAGACATTTACTAGGCATGTGACCTTGGGCAAGTTACTTCATCCTGCTTGCCTCAGTTTCTTCACCTGTAAAATGAGCTGGAGAAGGAAACGGCAAACCACTCCAGGATCTTTGCCAGGAAAACCCCAAATGGGGTCATGAAGAGTCAGACATAATTGAAATGACTAAAGAACAAAAGTCTGTCTATCCATATATCTATCTTCACGTGTTGTCGCCCCCAGCTAAGATAAGCTCCTTCACAGCTAACATTTATAGAGTGCCTACCATGTGCCAGGCACTGTGCCAAGCACTTTATAAACATGACTGCATTTGATCCTCACAGCAGCACTTGGAGGTAGGGGCTCTTATGACCCACTTCACAGGTAAGGAGACTGAAGCAAACAGAGGTTAAGTGACTTGCCTAGTGTCATACAGCTAGGAAGTGTCTGGGGTTGGATCTGAACTCAGGTCTTCCGGACTCCAGGCCTGCCTGGTGCTCTATCTATTTCAGCACCACCTAGCTGTCCCTAAGGGCAGGGACTGTCATTTTTTGCCTCTGTCCCCATTATCTAGCACGGTAACTGGTTCACGGTAGATAATAAGTGCTTGATTGACTTTAGTAGAGGAATAAGACAGAAACTCAGGCATGACTGGACTGCTTTGCATTCTCTGCACAGCCTAGAAAGATATTGTCACATTGAGCTCAAACCTCTCCGGCATCCAAATGCAAGAGAAAAACAGAGTGAGCTCAATTCTCCTTTGCTGATTGTGGAATATATTACCTTCCTCCAAGCTTCTTGCCTGTGGTGCATTTGAATCAGGGAAAGGATGGATTTCCCAAAGCCAGTGGATGCAGGACCTTATGCCCCCATTCTTGGCTAGGCCGTGGCAAAGTCTCACAGAATTCTGAGCTGGAATGGCCCTCGAGGGCTCCATGTTCTACCTCCCTCATTTCATAGAGGAGGGAGCTGAGGCCTATAGGGGGGAATGGAAGGACTTTGCCACCTACTACCTTCAGGGCCATAGATGAGCTCAGATTCTAACTCAAGTGCCGGGACTACAAATTTGAGGTTTTGCCCAATCTCCCACACTACCTGTCTAATTGAATCCAATTCACTCAACAAACCTTTATTAAAAAACTACTGTAGGAGCAGTGAGGTGGCACAGTGGGTAGAGCACCGGCCCTGGATTCAGGAGGACCTGAGTTCAAATCCAGCCTCAGACACATAACACTTACTAGCTGTGCGACCCTGGGCAAGTCACTTAACTCCATTGCCTAGCCACAAAAAAAGCAAAACAAAACAAAACAAAACAAAAAAACCCTGCTGTATACAGAACATTGTGCCTGTGTTGGGAGAGATACAACGTTTAGATGAGACCCACCCTGGCTTTCTGGCCAAGATGGCTTCCTGAACAGAGGCAAACTGCCCAGCTCCTACATGTCTGCCTACTCTATCAGAAATCTGAAATCAAAATGATCACGAAATCCAATGAGAAACAACAGCTGGTGATTTCTTGCACCCCAGACCTGCACAAAAATCCGCCTGCCATTGACCACTTTCTCCTTCTTGACACTCTCTTTTCTCTAGGTTTTCAGGACACTCCGCTCTCTCTCCCCATTCTCCTCCTCCCTTTCTGACCGATCCTTCTCAGTCTCCTATGCTGGATCCTTCTCCAGATCATGCCCTTGAACCATAGGTGACCCTCAGGGCTCTGTTCTGGGCCCTCTTCTCTTCTCCGTCTAGACTGCTTTACTTGGGGATCTCATTAGTTCCAATGGATTTAATGACCATCTCTATTCTGAGGATTCTCAAATCTACCTTTCCTGACCCAATCTCTCTGCCAACCTCCAATCTCCCATCTCCAACTCCCTTTCAGTCACTTCAAACTGGATGTCCAGTAGACATCTTAAACTCAACCTTCCCAAAACAGACCTCATTATCCTTCCCCCAACCCCCCCCGCCGCCTACCTTTTCTATTACTGCTGAAGGTAGGACCATCTTCCTAGTCCCTCAGGCTCACAACCTAGGAGTCATCCTGGACTCCTCACTATCTCTCACCCCCCATATCCAAGCTGTTGTCAAGTCCTGGTGATTCCACCTTTGCAGAATCTCTGAAATACTCCCACTTTTCTCCTCTGACACTGCCCTCACTCTGGTGCTGGCCCTCACCACCTCACATCTAGATTACTGCACCCTTCCTCAAGTCTCTCCTCATACCTGAATTTAGCCACCAAAGTGATTATCTTAAAGCAAAGGTATGACCACGGTACCCTTTCCCCTCAATAAACTCCAGTGGCTCCCTATTACCTCCAGGACCAAGTACAAAATGCTGTTTGGTGCTCAAAGCCCTTTATGGCTCAGCCCCCTCCTACCTTCCCAGCCTTCTTACCCCTTACTCCCCAACACGTACTCTTTGGCCTGGTGACTCCCAGCCTCCTGGCTGCTCCATGAACAAGACCCTCCATCTCTCTGCTCTGAGCATTCTCTCTGGCTGTTCCCCTTACCTGGTATACCCTCCCTCCTCCTCTCCGACTACTGACCTCCCTGACTTTCTTTAAATCCCAACTAAAATCCCACTCTCTAGAGGAAGCCTTTCCCAATACCACTGTTAATTATTTCCTGTTTATCCTCTACATAGCTTGCTTTGATTATGTATCTGTTGGCATGTTGTCTCTCTCATTAGAATATAAGCTCCATGAGGGCAAAGATGATGGCCAGGGTAGTCAGTGTTACAATAAGAAGGAAAGTGTGCCAGGCACTTTGCTGAGTATTCTGCAAATATTATCACATTTGATCTGGAAGGTAGATGCTATTATTGTCCCCATTTTATAGTTGAGGAAACTGAGGCAGAGAGGTTAAATGCCCAAGGCCACACTGCTATTAAGCATCTGAGGCCAGATTTGAACTCAGGTCTTCCTAACTCTGGGCCCTGTGCTATTTAAGGTCCAACTAAAATCCCACCTCCTATAGGAAGCCTCCCCCAATCCCTCTCAATTCCAGTGCCTTCTCTGTTCATCATCTCCTATTTATCCTCTATATAGTTTGTTAGTACATAGCTGTTTGCATGTATGTCTCCTCTACTAGATTATAAGCCCCTTGACAGCAGGGACTGTCTTTTGCCTCCTTTTGTATTCCCAGAGCTTAGCACTGTGCCTGGCACATAGTAGGTGTTCAATAAATGTATAATGACTGAATGATTCATCCAGGAGCCTGCCAGTCAATAGGAAAGGCAGGGAGGGTGTACTGGCGTCTTTGAGAAGAGCCAGAAACACATGTAGCACACAAGACCCTCTGTCTAGAGGGAGCAAAAATGGAGGGGCCTCCATGAAAGCCCCAGGGATGTCCCAAAGCCCAAGAGTAGAAGGAAATCTTGGAAACCCCAAGGTCTGGCAGTCCTGAAGATCCAGATCTCTGAGCTCCAGAAAGTATCTAACCCTGGGAGGTGAAGGTCAGCACAGGAACCCAGGATAGAGGGAACAGAAACCCAGAGTGAGATCAAGCAGGGCTGCCCTCCTCACCCTCTCTGCATGTCTCCAACTCCTTCACGACTGGGGCTAGTCACTCTTTTCTTTGTTTCTCTAGCACCTGTGCCTGGTGCCAAGTGGGAAGGTGAATTAATGTTTGCTGATTGGATAAATGAGTGACTGTCACTTAGGGATACATACATGACAGAACTACAAAGAAAGCAAATACTTTGTGATGCAATGGGAAAGCCATTGGCTCGAGCCTCAGAGGCGCTGGTGCTCACTACCTCTACAACCTGAGCCAATCACTTCCCTCCCTGGGCCTCAGTTTCCTCTTCTGTAAAATGAGAATGAAATCAAAGGGCCTCAGAGGTCCCTTCCAGCTCTAGTTCCTCCAGGACTTTCTGGTCACTCAGTAACCTCATGCCAACACATAGCTTCCAACTACGAGTCTTCTCTAAGACTCCTTCCTGGAAATCAGGTTGGGGTTGTGTGAAGAGTTCTGGGCATATTCTGGGAA